GGTGCAGGCCTTCAGGTTGCTTTGAAGGTTGGGCTGCGACGGACTTCTTTATGTTTCACACCCCTCACGTGGCAAACCACCTTGCCAAATGCACCAAACAAGCCGTAGAAGAGCCAAGTTCCAGCTTTCTCCGCTGAGTTTGTCACGCCAGGCCTTCACTGTGAAGCTTCAGAAGGAGCAGGGCATCTTTCTGGACTTCAAGTCTGCACTCAAAGACTTTCACTCCAAGCACGCAGCCAGTCACCGTGACCACCTGCTCCAGCAGAAGCGCGACCTGGAGGCTGCATCCCGAGCGTATCAGGAGAACTGGATGCCCATCAGGGTGCTGGAGCGGGATGACTTCGTCACAACGACCATCCAGAACATCGTGACGGATTTCGCGCAGAAGCAGTCGACGCTGGAGGAGCATGTGTACAAGTGCTTGTGGTGTGACTTGACAAAGCTGGGTGCTGCCCACAGCAAGCACCTGATGACCATGGTCAGCATCTTGGCTGAGAATGTGGCAGCGATGCCTGCGAAGACGGTTGCGCTGATTGCGGTTCCCAACACGGCCACGTGGGGCTCGGTGTACAGCGAGGCCGAGATCTTGAAGGCGGTGGCCACGGTGGAGGAGACTCTGCGAAGCCAGGAAGCAGAGCTTCTGGTTCGGCGGGCTGTGCTGTCCTTTTCGGAAGAAAGCCTGAAAGGCTCGACGCGCCCTGGATGGCATGATGTGCTGGTTGCCATCAGCAAGGTGGAGAATGCCCAAGGGGAGCTGGTCAGTGACTTCACGAAAAGTTACCTTTGGCAGCGTCGCCATGTCCATGACGTTGAGGCAAGGCCTGTGGGCCAATTCGTTGTGCCTGACTTGCAGTTGCAGACTGGCGCCCTCAATAGCTCCAAGGCGCAACGGTCAAAGCAGCAAGTGACTGGCGTCGACCTGTTCCTCAAGCTCCAGCAGGTGCTGTGGCGTGGAGTCCAGACCTTCGGCAAGTCGTGCATTTGGTTTGACCTCACGCCCTACGATGCTTCGCTTGCCCAGTCGGTCACTCTCAAGAACGCGCAGGGGAAGCAGGATGAGCCGGAGTCCACTCAAAGTGTTGCCCAAATCATCTTTGCCACGGATGACTCGGGCGCTGACAACCGCAAGGTGATCTTTCAGTACATCACGGCAGTTGTCAGACAGCAAATCCAAAAGCTGGCCAAAGAAGACAAGATCCTGAAGCTTGACGGCTTTGTGGAGCGCAACTTTGAGGCTGAGAAAATGCCCAGCTACGACGAGAAGCACTTTGAGCTTTGCATGGTGCAAACGCAGGAGGGTGGTGGACACTGCCTGCTTCTCAGAGAGGCTGCTTTGGAGAAGCTTGTGTTCAACCGGTACAAGCAGGACTTTGACAAGCTGGTGGCCTTGCACAACAGCCAGCACAACCCAAGTGGCCAAAGCTTCAAGGAGAAGAAGCGCACAGCAACGGTGGCCCAACTTGACCTGGACAAGGAGCCGAAGCTCCAGTGGCCACCCGTTGAGAAAACCAAGGACGACCTTGACAAGCCACTGGTCGTGCTGCCTGCCACGAGCATCAGCAACTTTGAGATTGTGATCGATGCCAAGAAGCAAGTGTTCCTGCTGTCCAACTTTGATGGTGTGGTGACACACCACAGGCCGCTCTTCCTGGGATGGGGCGAGTACAGGACGGCAGGGGAGGTGGAGAAAAGGGAGAAGGCCAAGGCCCTGATGCTACCCTTTAAGATGGACACCGCGGAGTACAAGGCCTTCTTCTTCCACGACAGCACAACATTCACGCCTGGGTATCCTGAGGCAGTTTCCAGCCTGGCAGACTTTCTGAGGTTCTTGGAGGGCAAGGGTGTGGTGAAGCCCAGCATTGCGTGTCACGCTCTCGAAGTCGTAGCTGGGGCAACAGACAAGGACTGCTACAAGGTCAACAATGACAAGCTGTGCTCCTTTGAGTTAAAGCCTGTCCCGCCCAAGAGTGAGGTCACCTACCAGAACGGGGGCTCCCTCCTGAAAGTGCAGAAGCAGGAAATTGGAAAGCTGAAGATCATGATGCGCCTGAAGTTCACGAAGTCTGAGTCTGGCGCCGGGATCTATCCCCAGAAGCCTGGCTTCTTTTTAGCCCAGCCACTAAGTGTGGCGAAAGGCCAAATGTATCAGCTAGTGTAAGCTGACAGGCTATGTCCTGAAATTGTCTGCAAGGGCGTGCAAGTGCGTGAAGCACTTGACATTTGATTGAGCATAGCATCAGCGTAGCAAAACTAGCACTGAATGATTTGAAATGGTTGCGCTGGCATGTTCCGCTGCAGACAAAGCTGTGGACAATTACCGTGACTGATGGTGGAAAACAACTTTCTTGCTTAGGCAGAAGGGGTGGCATGGCGCAGTTGCTACTGCATTGGGAGCACGTGAATTTCTTGTGTTTGCCTGCTTAGCCCATTTGCTTCAAGCTGTTGGCAGGTGCAAGGTAGCATGTCTAGCTTCTTCCTTGCGGGTGGCACTGGCCCCAACTCCAGTGATGAAGAGGGCATGGAGTCCCCAAGGTCATTGAGCCCAATGGGGTGTCCAGTGTGGCCATCGGATGCTGATGTCAGCTTGATGATGTCAGCATCGTCAGGCAGTGCAGCTTCTCAGCTTTCATTCCAGCCACCTGCTTGTGATCTTCCAAGTTCAGAACCTGCAGCAATGCTCAGCCCTTCTGGAGCTGGCTGCCCCATGCCTGAGAAGAAAGTTCTGCTTGAAGTTGCAAGCACGATGTCTGATCAGGATGTGCTTGAGCAGGAACTTCCTGATGCTGACTGTGACCTTCCAGTGTATGGGCCAGAGCCACCGGTGACACCGGCAAGAGCAACCCTGGCGCCAGCCATGCCTGAGGAGACTGCGGCAGCTGCCAAGGAGACGCCGCCGAAGCCTGGCAAGACTCAGCAGAAAGATGGCAACTCCAACGGTCGTGGTGGAGACAAAAAGGCTCGGTGTAAGCGAGGTGAAGCAGGCACGTTTGCCGGAAGGCGCCCGCCAAAAAATGAGGAGAAGCTGAAGGTCTTCAACCAGTTGAAGGAAGAGTTCAACAAGGCCAAGAAAGACTCCAAGGATCAACTGAAGGTCAAGAGCAAGTCTGGCGGGGACTCCACTGCCAACCAGCAAGAATTCTGGACCTTTGTGCAGAAGCACATGAAGGAGCAGAAGGCTGGCACAACGCAGAACCGACTATCTGCAGCTGCAGCAGCTTGGAGGGCTCAGAAGCTGGCTGGGGAAAAGGGGGACACCAAGAAAAAGGCTTGCTGAATGTAGGGGGTGTTGCAGCGCCAAGAGCTGAACAGAATCAGTCATTGGAGGAGACATGAAAGACATGAGTGTGAAAGATCTGTTTGTTTACAATGCACACAAATGCTTGATGGCCTACTTGTTTCATGTGTGTCTCCTCCTGTGCATGGGGTTGCGATGTCTGGCTGTGAAGCTCTTGCCAGCTGCCTAGCACTGGGGTGTTCACAAGAAATACTGGCGGTTTTCACTCACTCTCTGGGTGCCCAAGGCTGGAAAAGAAGGTTACACTGTGCTGCAAGGACTGAGATGCTTCAAGCAAGGTTGTCATGGACTCTTGGCCCAAGCAACTTGGTGCCAAGTCACTCAGCCAGCCATGTTCCCTGCTGTTGCTGCTTCGCTTGTCTTGTCATGTGGCTGGACTTTAGCTGACATGAGTCATCATTGTGAGCACCTTGACCGTGACTTGCAAGTGGTGGAGATATGGTCTGGGGTTGAGTCCATTGCTGGTGCAGCAAGTCATCTTGGCCTTGCTTCAGCTGCTTTTGATGTTTGCAGGGACAGTGCCCAAAACATCCTTCAGCTTCAAGGGCTGCGGGAGGCAACCTCCTTGGTGGGGCGTGTAGTTCAAGGAGGATTGGTGGTGCTAGCGCCTGAATGCAAATCCTTTTGCGGACTCTGCATCAATGGCTCTCGCAGGCATGAGCGAGATGAAGGTGCCGATAGCAAGGCCTGGGTAGCTGAGGGCAACGAGATGGCCATGGTTGCAATGATGTTTCTTTGCCTATGTGTGTCCAGGGCAGTTCACTGTCTTGTCGAGAACCCCCACGGCAACTACTTCTGGAAGTATGGGCCAGTGGCATCCACATTGAAATCCCTCAATGCAATCCATGCCAAAGTTGACAGATGCCGCTTTGTCACTGGCAGGGGCTCCAAATTCAAGAAGGTGTACAACTTTGCATCATGCTCGCAGTTTGTTGCAGAGCTCCAGCGCTTCACCTGTCGCTGCAAACGTGCTCACGAACGCATGACCACCCGGAAATGTGTGGAGGTGAGTGGTGTGAAAAAGGTCATGGTGACGGGCATCAAGGACAAGCTGAAGGAATCAGCTGCATACCCAGCCAAGCTGGGGCAGGAGATTGTAAATCTGTGGCACTGTGCGAGTAGGGCTGCTGGGCATCAACCCAGTGAGCCATTGTGGCTGGTTCCTGAAGAGGGAACTGAGCCTTCTTTTTCTGAGTCTTGCCACGCTTCCTCTGAAGCTTGGCTGCAGCCTTGTGAATGAAGCCAAGGCTGCGGGTTGGGGTCAGCAAACATGTTGGTAGCATGCGCAGCTATGGGGAAAAGTGCGCTTGTGCTGTTTGCTCCTAGGTCCGGGTGCGGATTGTAACGTTGCTTTTGCTCATATGTTGCGCAGGTACATATGCTGGTTGGCGAGTTCTAGACGCTGGCCCAGGCGGGCCCAATGTTGCCAATCAACAGCCTGTTCCTGACTGGTTGGCAACTGTGCACAATTAAGTCTGCTACTTCTTCTCAAGGCTGTGTGTGCTTGACATTGAAGCTGTTGCAGGCTTGCCAGTGTAGCACTGAGTGTTGGCTCAAGTAATGAACAACTGACAGTAAGCAAAGATGTTTCAGGTTGTTCAGCGCATGTGCTCACACATTTGTTTTACAGGACTTGGTAACCAAGTCCTATAAAACAAAGTATGACTTGGGGAAGCGTGACAAAACAATTATGGTGTGAACAGCCATGGCTGCCTCTGAGAGCTGGAAAATTTTGCCTCTTGGGGAGGAATCGCCCTCAACTGCAACAGCAGTGCATGGTGACAGCTGGAAGAGGCTGTCCCTTGATGAAGATGCTCCGGAGTCAGCTGCCCCGAAAAAGCGGCAAAGAGCTTCAGTGTCTACGCCATGTTCTTTGTCAAAGCCTGCCAAGGTTTCTGCACCATCTCGCAGCCCCGCAGAAGGTGGTCAACATCACAGCTGCGATGCTGAGGCTGCTGCCCAAGGAAGACAGCGTGGGCAATGAGGGCCAAGACCGTGCTGTTCAGATGTCAGGTGGATGCCGCTGCAAGCGCAATTGTGTGAAGCAGTTCCATGAGTCAGAGACGCTCAACTTGGCCAGTCTGTGGCATGGCTTGTCCGTGCAGACTCGGGTGGGTGTCCTCTCTGGTCTGTATCATGGTGACTCTGAAGATGTTGCTGCCTGCAGCGAGGGTGATGATCGTCAACAGGAGCGTGAGATTGAGCGACACCACTGGAAGCTCAATGACAAGCAAGTTTGCTTCAGAGGTTTCTGTCAGCTGCTTGGAGTTTCTGCCAAGACTGTGTGCAGAATGATCCATGGAGCTCCTGACATGCGCGTGGGCGAGCATCAGCCTGGCACAAGGTCTCACCCACAACGTGACTTCATCAACTACTTTTTCACTGAGCTGTATCTCTGCGCTGCAGAGGACCTGCCAGAGGTGGCTGTCACTGAGGGGGTGGACGCAGCGATTGAGCAAGGCCTTCAAGCAGAGGTGACAACGGAGGAGTCCCCAGAGTTCAAGAAGCACTTTGTCTGGAACCTGCAAACTGAAGTTCCTGCACGCCTGACTGCTCTGCTGATCACAGATAGTGGCCAAAAGCCACCTCCATGTCGCATAATACCGCCAGGCAAGCTCAGTGACCTGTGGTACCAGTTCCTGGCATGGAGTGAGTCGCATGAGGTGCAGGACCGAACTGAGGATCTGAAGAGTGTTCGCAAATCTTCAAAGCGAGGTGATGAGAAGAATGTCCCCAGCTGGGCAACCTTCTGGCGTGTTTGGAACACATATTGGCATGGCAAAAGCAGGACATTGCTGGCCTTCAGAAAACAAAGCCAGCATGCAGAATGCGATGTTTGTGCCCATGCACGCATGTGCCTCTATGGCAAGAACATGTCAGTCAACGACAAGATTCACTTGGCGACTGCGTGGCGCCAACACCTCCGTGATCAATATCACGATAGACAACTTTATTGGTCCATGCGCTTCGCGAGCCGCTCGAAGATGAACATCATCACGATTATAGTGGACAGTTTTGACAAGACCAAGATGGCGTACCCCAAGCTTGACTACAAATTGGGCAGACTGCCGCACGCATTTGACCAGCTTCTGCGGCCAAAGCTGGTGCAGAGCTCAGTAACACATGGGTGTGCTTCTGCACTTGTGTTTCACAGTCAATTTTCAACTCCTTAAATTTGGACCGGCGCTCTGCTTCAGGTCTTGACGGCCTGCCTTTGCCATGGATGGCGGACTGGGGTCTTCTTGCAAGATGATCATTTGCGGCATGGTGCTGACGCCTACCTGGAGGTGGTGTCCCGCACACTAGACTCGATTGCAACCACGACGGGGGAGCTCCCTGCCCATCTGTGGCTGCAATCGGATAACACAACAGCCCAATCGAAGAACTCCAGTTCCCACTTGTACTGTGCTTTGCTGGTCGGGCGCCGCCAAATGAGCACAGTTACGTGCTCCTACTTGACCAAAGGTCACACGCACGAGGATGTTGATCACTTCTTTGGGGAGCTGCTGCCAATCTTGAGACGCAACCACTTCGAATGCCTCGAAGACATGCAACAACTCCTGCAGAAAGTTCAGGTCCGGGCTGAGAACTGCCAAGAGCAGCTGCAGGTTGAAACCATGACGGCCATCCATGACTTCACAGGCTGGATGGATGTCACAGGAGTGCGCTTGATGAACACGTTCCGGTCCAGAAAGAAGCAACCGCAAGAACGATGCGCCATCCCTGCGCACTCCTTCACCTACAAGAGGCGTGAGGACCTGAGCGCATCTGAGCGGGAGCAGCTGCCTGCCTCCACAGCACAAGGCCACGCGCAAGATGTCTTTGCCATCATCAAGGCAAGAATGCACCATGGCCATGACCAGGCAAAGCCGCCTGTCTTGACCTTGCCCTGGGACCGCGCAAGCAGAGTTGGTGCTTTCAGCCAAGTACCAACGCTGCCCGTCAATGACATCGCTGAGGACAAGAAGAAAAATATATCGCACTGGCAGCCCTGCTGGAAAAGGAGCCCTACAACTACCAGCGTGGTCCACAAGCTTTGCGGGAGCTTGCCAGGGACCAGTGCAAGTCTGAGCTCAGGCCCATCCCTTGGCTGGATGTGCCTGGAGCACAGCAGAGTGCCAACGTGGTGTTCACTGGGAATCACTACTACCCAGAGCTTGCAGAGGTTGCGTGGCCAATGATGGCCCAATTCAGGTAGTCCTCTTGCAAGATCAATATCGCATCGCAGTAAAAAATGCTTGCTTCCAGGGGTGCTTGGCCCATTGGTGTGAGTTTCTGCAAACCCCTGTCAAGTTTGCTCAACCATTTGGTTTCCAAACTGGAAGCTTGTTTGTGAGAATCTACGAGGCCCTAGCCCCAGCCCTGAATTGCTCTGCAGGCAAGGGGCTGCTGTGGACGGCAGCTGCAGCCAGCGCCAGGAGCTTGCCTCAGAGGGACTGGCTTTGCGGTTTGGTTTGGGGAATAAACATGTGGGTGTATCACCACAAGCTTAGGCCCACCCAAAGGCCTGGGGGCTTATTAAAGACGTCTGCTTCAAATAGCATGGATTGAGGAACTCGCATTCCTTGTCTCCATCATGCTACTTACGCAGGCTGCTCACAGCATAACATGGTGGGATGCATTTTCAACATGGCACATAGTTGACAAGGGTTGTAAAAAACAGTGTCACACACATAAACCCATTCACTGACATCCGTGCATGTCTGAGAAGACTATGTTGTATGGTTTCAAGCAAATATTCACCATGCCTGTGGGCGCCATTCGTACCAAGCAGCTGACTGTTTGGAGGCAGCTGATGGAGGGCCAGGGTCCTCAGAATTAAGATGCGTGGCAGGTGAAGTGAGCCCTCTGGTGTGATTGATCCAAGGTTGTCTGTTGGATGCTTCTGCATGAACTTTCATAATATTACATGGATTATTTTTCATGCCCCCATTGCCTGCCAGGCTGTCAGTGCGAATGAACCTTTTCAAGCCTGTTGGCAAGTTCTGCTGCTGGTTGAGCCACACCTTACTCTAAATGCTTGCAGGACTTTACACTGCCTGCTCAGTGTCATCAAGGTTTAGGGCCCTACCTTTGGATGCCAATGTTAAGGGATGCAGGTATGTTTGACCAAGGGGGTCCATTGCCTTCTAGAGTAGACTGGGTAAACAGCTGGCATGACCTTGGCTTTGAAGGGCTTGGGGGTTCTTTTTGTTATTTACATTCTGTGACATTACTTGGTACCAAGTGATGTCACAGAATGTCAAACCACAACAATAAACTGGGGCTGTGTGTTCACGCCACGTCGCAAAACGTGCACTGCAAACATGTTTGTTCGTAGATGTTGCCCAAGAAACAGGAAGTCTGTTGGCCCCCTGTGTGATTCATGGTTGATTCATTGATTCTCCAACCGGCTTTTGGGGTGTTCCTACCAGCAAGTTGCAGAAACTCAGGAATGAGTCAAGGTTGCACCTGAAAAGTTTCATGGGGTGAGGGTGTGTGTTGGGCAAACCTATTGGCACCACCCTAAAGGCAATTCGTCGCAAACCACTAAGTGGCATGCATTGGGTTGGGGTGCGCTTTGAAAATGGGCAACACGTGGCGCAATACTTTTTGAGGAACGCGTGCTTCTCCACTCTGAAAGCGCCAGTAAGTGTGACCACCTGGTCAGTTGTTGCAAACCTTTTGATTGCAGGCAGGCTGCAGTCCAGTGACCTCTGACAAGGTGTGCTCCTGAGCCAGGGCAGTCATGCACATATCGCACAGATATCAGAAGAATTGCCTTGCCTCAATTGTGACTGGCTTGCCACCAAGGTGCAGGCTCAGGTGCTGCTGATTGAGCCAGCAGCTGGCAGCCAGCGGCCAGCAGCAATGTGAAACCATGTTAGAACACCTCCTGACATTTTCTCTCATTCACCGACTTTGTAAGCTTTGCGTTCACATTAGGGTAACCTTGCATAAGCAAGCTGTTCGCACGACCAACTGGAAAGAGTACTTTATATGGCCCCCCCAAAAGGTCTTTGGTCATACCCTTAAAGTTACTTATGCTTCCAACAGCAGTGTCACTTGGATGCCAAGTACCACACTGGTGGAAGAGTGGGGTCTTTTGAGCTCCATAGGCTTCAACATGACTCCTCATCTACACACATAGCCTATATGCTTCACAGCTCAAAATTTCAGACTTTCCACCCCAAATGAACAGACCCCCCTGTGGAATGAACAAGGATTGCAGGGCAAAGCTGCGTGGACCACGGTGCCTCAGTTCGCACAAGCACTAACGGAGAGTTTTTTGCACGAAGCTCGCCCCTGCAAGCCGTGTCGCAAGAGAAAGACAACGCAGGGCAAAGCTTCGGGCCGCCTCAGCTCGCACAACCGCGCTAACGGGCAGTTTGTCGTGCAAAGCTCGCCCCTACAAGCAGCTTCGCAAGACAGCGCAGGGCAAAGCTGCGTGGCCCACGGTGCCTCAGCTCGCACAAGCACTAAAGCACTAACGGACAGTTTTTTGCACGAAGCTCGCCCCTGCAAGCCGTGTCGCAAGAGAAAGACAGCGCAGGGCAAAGCTTCGTGGCCCGCGGGCCACCTGCGTGCTTCGGCCAGCCCCGGGCCGCCTCAGCTCGCACAGCCGCGCTAGCAAGCAATTTGTCGTGCGATTCTCGCCCGTCAAATCTGGATTCCACCTCCTCACTTGCGGCCGTCATCATCGACTGCCTTGACTTTTTGCAGCACGGCGGGCGAGCCCGTCCAAATTTGGTGGGTCGCCCACGAACTCGTTCCACAGCCTACAAGCAGTTGTGCCTCAGCTCGCACAAGCTGCGTGGCCCGCGGTGCCTCAGCTCGAACAACCGCACTAACCGGCAGTTTTTGGCACGAAGCTCGCCCCTGCAAGCCGTGTCGCCAGAAAAAGACTGCGCAGGGCAAAGCTTCGTGGCCTCAGCTCGCACAACCACGCTAACGGGCAGTTTGTCGTGCAAAGCTCGCCACTACAAGCAGCTTCGCAAGACAGCGCAGGGCAAAGCTGCGTGGCCCACGGTGCCTCAGCTCGCACAAGCACTAACGGACAGTTTTTTGCACGAAGCTTGCCCCTGCAAGCCGTGTCGCAAGAGAAAGACAGCGCAGGGCAAAGCTTCGTGGCCCGCGGGCCACCTGCGTGCTTCGGCCAGCCCCGGGCCGCCTCAGCTCGCACAGCCGCGCTAGCGAGCAATTTGTCGTGCGATTCTCGCCCGTCAAATCTGGATTCCACCTCCTCACTTGCGGCCGTCATCATCGACTGCCTTGACTTGTTGCAGCACGGCGGGCGAGCCCGTCCACATTTGGTTGGTCGCTGCCGCCCATGAACTCGTTCCACAGCCTACAAGCAGTTGTGCCTCAGCTCGCACAAGCTGCGTGGCCCGCGGTGCCTCAGCTCGCACAACCGCACTAACCGGCAGTTTTTAGCACAAAGCTTGCCCCTGCAAGCCGTGTCGCCAGAAAAAGACTGCGCAGGGCAAAGCTTCGTGGCCCGCGGGCCACCTGTATGCTTCGGCCAGCCCCGGGCCGCCTCAGCTCGCACAACCGCGCTAACGGGCAGTTTGTCGTGCAAAGCTCGCCCCTACAAGCGGCTTCGCAAGACAGCGCAGGGCAAAGCTGCGTGGCCCACGGTGCCTCAGCTCGCACAAGCGCGCTAACGGGCAGTTTGTCGTGCAAAGCTCCCTACTAGCAGCTTCGCAAGACAGCGCAGATAAAAGCTGTGCCTCAACTCGCACAAGCACTAACGGACAGTTTTTTTGCACGAAGCTCGCCCCTGCAAGCCGTGTCGCAGAGAAAGACAGCGCAGGGCAAAGCTTCGTGGCCCGCGGGCCACCTGCGTGCTTCGGCCAGCCCCGGGCCGCCTCGGCTCGCACAGCCGCGCTAGCGAGCAATTTGTCGTGCGATTCTCGCCCGTCAAATCTGGATTCTACCTCCTCACTTGCGGCCGTCATCATCGACTGCCTTGACTTTTTGCAGCACGGCGGGCGAGCCCCTCGCACAAGCTGCGTGGCCCGCGGTGCCTCAGCTCGCACAACCGCACTAACCGGCAGTTTTTGGCACGAAGCTCGCCCCTGCAAGCCGTGTCGCCAGAAAAAGACTGCGCAGGGCAAAGCTTCGTGGCCCGCGGGCCACCTGTATGCTTCGGCCAGCCCCGGGCCGCCTCAGCTCGCACAAACCGCGCTGACGGGCAGTTTGTCGTGCAAAGCTCGCCCCTACAAGCAGCTTCGCAAGACAGCGCAGGGCAAAGCTGCGTGGCCCACGGTGCCTCAGCTCGCACAAGCACTATCACGGACAGTTTTTTGCACGAAGCTCGCCCCTGCAAGCCGTGTCGCAAAGAGAAAGACAGCGCAGGGCAAAGCTTCGTGGCCCGCGGGCCACCTGCGTGCTTCGGCCAGCCCCGGGCCGCCTCAGCTCGCACAGCCGCGCTAGCAAGCAATTTGTCGTGTGATTCTCGCCCGTCAAATCTGGATTCCACCTCCACTTGCGGCCGTCATCATCGACTGCCTTAACTTTTTGCAGCACGGCGGGCGAGCCCGTCCACATTTGGTGGGTCGCTGCCGCCCACGAACTCGTTCCACAGCCTACAAGCAGTTGTGCCTCAGCTCGCACAAGCTGCGTGGCCCGCGGTGCCTCAGCTCGCACAACCGCACTAACCGGCAGTTTTTGGCACGAAGCTCGCCCCTGCAAGCCGTGTCGCCAGAAAAAGACTGCGCAGGGCAAAGCTTCGTGGCCCGCGGGCCACCTGTATGCTTCGGCCAGCCCTGGGCCGCCTCAGCTCGCACAACCGCGCTAACGGGCAGTTTGTCGTGCAAAGCTCGCCCCTACAAGCAGCTTCGCAAGACAGCGCAGGGCAAAGCTGCGTGGCCCACGGTGCCTCAGCTCGCACAAGCACTAACGGACAGTTTTTTGCACGAAGCTCGCCCCTGCAAGCCGTGTCGCAAGAGAAAGACAGCGCAGGGCAAAGCTTCGTGGCCCGCGGGCCACTTGCGTGCTTCGGCCAGCCCCGGGCCGCCTCAGCTCGCACAGCCGCGCTAGCAAGCAATTTGTCGTGCGATTCTCGCCCGTCAGATCTGGATTCCACCTCCTCACTTGCGGCCGTCATCATCGACTGCCTTGACTCTCTGCAGCACGGCGGGCGAGCCCGTCCACATTTGGTGGGTCGCTGCCGCCCACGAACTCGTTCCACAGCCTACAAGCAGTTGTGCCTCAGCT